TTTTTTTTTTTTTTTTTTTTTTTTTTTTTTTTTTTTTTTTTTTTTTTTTTGGTACAGACAATATCTAGGGCTGCAGAGATCCTTGTTTTATCTCACCCAAAGGAAATATCTATCTAAACAGTCTCAGTATTAGGGTAAAATGGGATGCCTGAGTAACAGAGAGTTTTCTCTTACCTTCATGAAGTCTGAGAAACTCCCAGCTTGGGTTCTATCTTTGATGATAAAATGGGTTTATTTAAAAACACACACCTTACAGTAGAAGAGACCATGCTTGCCATGTGCACCTCTGCATATCCACAGCCAGCACTGTGCCTGGCCCGTGGAAGGTGTTCGTTGTCCACATACATAAAGGATCAATTTATAAATGTTCATAAGTACTCCAAGTGATGCTCTGCAGGAATTAGATTTGGGTGGTACAGCCCAGGAGGACATGACTACAGCAAATGGGTGTTAAGTGTCTTGGTAGCAAATTTCAGGTGAATGGAGAAAAAGAGTCTCTAATTTTTAAAGATTTCTAATATTTGAATGGGCATCACTCTAAAAAAGTTAACTTATCATCACCAGGGGTAATGGAGCTAGCACTGCGTGTTCATCTGTCAGGGAAAGTGGTAGAATATGGGAAGAACGACCTGCACTTGAGTCAGCCGCACCTGGGCTGGGGGGTCCAGATTCTGCCACTTCATAATTTTGTAATCTCGGGCAAGATACTACACCTCTCTAAATCTTAGTTTTCTCCCCAATGAAATGAGGATAATGATGGCAACTGCCTCATGGGTGCTATGATGTCTAATTGAGAAAAACTGCAGGTAAGCACATAGGGCTTGACATATATTAAGTGTTTGGTCCACATTCACCATTATTACTAATGTTATTAGAAGAAATCGATGCCTTGGAGGCAAATTTGAACTTGACAGAATCTAAAACGGCTTCCAGCTTATCTGGGTTTGGGGGAAGTGGGAGTGGTATTGTCATGTCGTTGGCAGATAATAACAATGTGATTGAAATATCACCTATGCGATATTTCAAATAGAAGGTCTTACTCTTTCTTTTCAAAGTTGTTCCAGAGCAGCCTCGAAACTTGTCTTGCATACAGAAGGGAGAACGGGGGACCGTGGCCTGCATCTGGGACAGAGGACGAGAAACCCACCTATATACTAATTACATATTACAGTGAGTGAGAGCTGTAGTTTTGCAACTGTTTTGTAAGTCTTCTCTTGGATGATTTAGAAATATCTAACAGTTTTATTTTTACTAGACAGAAGACACAATAGATACCTCTAGACAACCATATACTTTAAAAAAAATTCTTGTGTTCATCAGTTAAATCTGGTTCATTCATCTAGAAAGAGAGGCCTTATATCTGGGTCTGAGTTCTAATTCAGTGTTCTCTTCAGGGCATCTGTGGCCCGCACTGTGGGTGTTCTTCCCTGCTCTGGTAGGGTTAAGCTGGCTGCATAAAATCTCTTTCCTCTTTTGCAGTCACAGACTCTTGGTGTCATGATACATAAATAGACCTTTCCTTGTGGTAGTTTTCCATTAGCTTGAAGGAATTCCTTTTTAATGCACTGTTGGCTGGCCTGAGAATCCACAAGAAAGGGGTTTGGGGATACTGTTCCTTGGAGTAGATTCCAAAACCCCTCAAAGATCCAGCTGATTTGCACTGTTCCTGAGTGAGCAGGAGATGCGGAAAGGAAGTGAGACCCAGGATTCTGGTCTGGTCACCACTGTACTGGAAGCTGACATTTTATGCAGAGAATGCCAGGGTATCCATGAATCCTTTGGATAATGGTTTGGATCTCCCTGGAGNATATTCCCATGGCATATCCTCTAATGATAAGACTGACCTTAAAAACTGTCTAGAATCTTAAATATTTGAACATTTTGTTCCTTTTTACTAAAAAGAGAAAATCACACATAAAGTATTTTGCTAAACACAATTGTCTTTTGTTTATAGGTTAAATGGGCCAAAAAATTTAACTTGGCAGAAACAATGCAATGATCATTATTGTGACCGTTTGGACCTTGGAATCAACCTAACCCCCGAATCATCTGAATCCAGTTTCACGGTCAAGATTACTGCCACCAATAGTCTTGGAAGTTCTTCTTCTTTCCCATCCACGTTCTCATTCTTGGACATAGGTACATTTTACTTCACTTTTTCTAGGTGTCATTCATTGGCACATGAAAATTATTATTTTTTTTATTTTTATTTTTAATTTTTTCCTTTTTGTCTTTTTCCGTGTCCGGCAACGGATCGCAACCCTCAGTGTCGCCCCCGTACCGGACCGGGACCGGCAACGGGATCGCAACCCTTGGTGTTGCTCCCGTGCCTCACTCAGCCAGTGAGCAGGAACCGGTCTGTATGTGGGATCCAAACCCTTGGCGGGAGCGCTGCCACACTCCCAAGCGGCGCACTGTAGCAGTGCGCCACCGGGCCGGCCCACATGAAAATTATTTTTAAAATCATTCAAATCTGTGGATGGTGGTTTCAAGAGGGACAGAGGTTGACAGAAGGTGGGCAACAGGTGTAGGCAAAAGGTAGACTTTACTTTGATGCAAGTAAAGGGGCACATGATCCTAGAGCTATATGGAGATGGCTGTACGAAATGAGATACCCAGCATTATTTCTCTGTTGGAGAAACAGGCATTCCTGGCTTCAAATCCCATGAAAGCACCAGCTGTCTGTGTGATACCACCTGACTGAGGAGAGGGTCCTGTTCAGCCCTTCTTGTTGGAGGTGTCCTTTTACCTCCGCAGCTGCTCTCACTGCTCTGAGATAGGCTACATGTGGACCTGCTGGGCTAGACAGCCAGGGGCTAAATAAAGTGAATCTCACTCTGAGAATTCTTACCTCCACCCCTTGCATCAGCTTGGGAGCTGGAGTGAGCCAGTCCCAGCATATTTCTGAGCAAATATAATTGGCCCAGTTGAATGAGAGGCCAATCTCAGGCATCCCAAGTTCTGTCTGTCCCTGCTGGGACTGGGCTTCTGGAGGGCCTGAAGTTCCACCATGACTCAATGTGTGTCTCTTTTCTCTTCCCACAGCACTTCTTTGCATACATGCTGCCAACTGCGAGTCTGATCGTAGGCATTTACTGTATCCTTTCCTACCGCACTTCTCCCCAACCTTCTTTCTGTCTCTTTACACAGACCATTCATCTCTCGGCCACCTTCTTTCCCATTTTTTTCTTCTTTTCCTCTCTTCCTTTGTCCCTTTGCTATGAATTTTTCTACCAACATTTCTTTTTTTCCTGATGTGATCACCACTAGCCACCTCTGGCTTCCCAATCGCTGAAACTCTCGGGCTTGCCACATTGGTTTTCTGTAAATCATTGAATTAAGTGGAGCTGACACGTTGCTAATGTCGGTAGTAGTTATTTGGTAAAAATGAGGTTAAATTAAGGGGAATTATTTGAATGATTTAGAAATGCATCCAACATTTGTCTTTCTTTTGTCAAACTGAGAACTTCTCTCTTGTATTTTACCAAATTTATCCAGTGCGCCACCGGGCCGGCCCGGTGGTCACACATCTTAGAAATGAGTTTTGTTCAACTCTTTATAGCTCACGTCAGTACATATAGTAATTTCCGATCGTAGATCCTGAACCACATTTTTTCTTTGTCCTGGTCACTAGCGAAGCCTCTTCCTCCATGGGACATCAGAATCAAATTTCTAAATGCTTCTGTGAGCAGATGTATCCTTCAGTGGAGAGATGAGGAACTGGTGCTGCTTAACCGACTCAGATATCGACCCAGCAACAGGAGGTCCTGGACTATGGTAATGGTCTTTAGAGTGAAGGGGAAAAAAACATTAAGGGGTTCTTAGTATTGCTGCACAAACCTTTGTCTTTTCGTACCAGCAAAATATGGAGTTTTTAAGAATATTTAGCCTGAAAGTACACACTTAAGTTCTATCAGAAAGTCATGTACACCTCTATTTATTAAGAAATATCTTGAATTTTGGTCACCGATTCTGAAATTTTCTAA